GACTTTTTTCCTGACTTTTTTCAGTTTTACCACTGGTTCTCTTGGGTTTGTTTGTCCCCACTCTCTCCCAGTTTCCATACCTTTAGGGTCTGAGTTTTTTTGTGCAGAGTAACCCTCAGTAAGCATTTCTCGCTAACTTCTTTATTAGAAATTTTAACCCTCAGAACGCCCTCTTAAGAACCGCATTTAAAAATAAGCAAAGAAATGAAAGTATAATTAAGGTGGAGATGCTGTGGGGGATATGGGAAATTAATGTGCCCCAGACAAACCCCTGAGCTGGAACAATCTGATGATACAACAAATGCCACAACACCTTAATGACGCAGTACTCGGGATTCCATCAGTATTTTTGGGTTTCCTGGGTAGAGATAGCCTAACTGTGATCCCCGTCGTTCCAATTCCCATTGGAAAAAATGTCTGCATTTTCTAAACATTTTCAAAATTTCCGATTTTGACCAAAAAAGAAATATTTAAAGGAAAATACCTGCCCTGAAACGAGCGCTGCTGCCAGACTCTCAGCAGCCCCGTTGTTAGGCTTTGCCGTGCAGCTCCCGTGGGCTTTTGGATCCTCCCTTGCCCCGAGTGGGCTCCGGCGTCACCTCCTCCCTTGGTGTCCTTGTCACCCGTCCCGAGAGCAGCCTGCCAGCGCCAACCCTGCCCTCTGCTTGCGGTCCCCAGGCTTCCAGCACGGGCTCTCCGGCCGCCGCAGGTCCCCGAGGGCTCGGGGTGCGAGCTCCTCGCTTTGCGACAGTTGGAGGAAGGGGGGGGGGGGGGTTGTCCCAAAAAACAGCCGCTCAGCGCAGTCGGCACCTACGTGGGTTGGTTTTATTGCTGTCCATCACCAGGCTCCAGCGTTTAGTATTACTCAGAGGTCTGCAAAGGGTCCGTGGTTCTTTCTCCCTGCCCGTGGGTTGCAGTTGGCCTCATCATAGAGGAGAACGTCCCTCGGTGGCCCCACCTGCATCTGGGCTTACCCGGTTGGTGCTTTTTGCTAACTTCTCCTCCATCCTTGAGTTTTGTCGAATTTCTGTTGGTTTTTTTTTTTTTACCTAAAGACATAAGTAGGCAGGTCCCCGCAGAGGGGATGGTTACACCAGGCTTTGTTTGTCATAGGAGCAACCCAAAGTGTTTGTGGCTGAACGAGATACAGGGATTTTAGTGACCCAGGACACAGCTGGGAGCCTAATTATCAGATGTGAGGTATGCGGGAGCGCTTGCAGCCGAGCTGTGCGATGCACGGGGTCGGAAACGTTCTTCGGGTCCTGCTAAACTTAGACCAGGAATTGGGGAGGGGATGTGGGGCATTGGTGGGGTTCTACTCTTGATCCTACCCACATCACGGTTTTTGGTGTCTCTCCCGTAGCCGAGGAGAAAGGCTGGTTTCCTGGGGAAGCCCCACAGATTAGG